GTCCGAAGTCGTCTGCCATAGTAGTTGTCTTGATTCCCAGCATCCGACAGTGGACTTGATACATTCTCAGCGATGTGTTCCGCTAGTTCTGATCTTTCAGTATCCATTTTCCTGCAGAGTCTCTGATGCTCCTTGATTCGTGTGCTGATTTTTCTCCCTGTTTCGCCAATATATTTTTGTCCGCAGCCGCCACATGATATACAGTAAACGCCCGAACAGTCCAATTTGTCTATCTTTTCATGTTGCGTTGGCAAACTAGAGAAAAGTGTTGATTTTTCCTTCTTGACCACTTGAATATTCCATTTGCTCAATATTGGTCGTAGTTTTTGAGTTAGTTCGCAGGTAGGCAGGCATATCCATTTTGTTGAATCTTTGATCGTCCTTATTGTCCTTTACTAGTCCCCGTTCTGCCATCGGCTTTTCACGGCCCGTATGTCTCTTTGTATCACTTCGCTTGGGTAGCCATTACCGAGGAAGATCCTAGTCACTTTCTTCAGCCCCTCGTCCCAGATTTCTGCGTCCGTCAAGCGTAGGCTCCTGATGATGATGCTCCTGATTAGTCCAATCTTTAGCCTGTAATGTGATGGGACCGGAAATTGAGCATTATGCCAGCATAGGACTTCTTTCTGAATAATTTCTTCTTCAGCGTTCCATTAGAGCGAATCACTTCCACGTCCATGAAAGGTAAACGCTCACCTTCCTCTACATCTATTGTGAATAGAATTTTTTCATCAATCTGATTTGTCAAGTTAATTAGTCTTGTTAACGACTACCTCTTGATCCGTTGTGATTCCAGTATATCTTCCTCTCGGTCCAGGATTTCCATTAGGGCCGTTAGTGCATTTTCTCCAGAGATATTTGTGTACATTGATTCCACAAAGTAACTTACCAATAAGTCCGTTTCTTCCAGTGCTACGTTTTTGATTTTTTTGAGAAAACTCATATGAATGTTTGATCGTGTTTGATAGTCTCTCATTTAATTTCTTGAGTTTTAAACATATAAATTATGCCAATTTGTGTGTTGCTCCATACTTGTTGTTGACTATTAGCCTAAGCGGCGCGC